ATAATATATATATAAATGCATACATTGAAGGTGTTCATCTCCAATTATACAGAATCAAATATTTTACCTGTAATCAGGATCAACTGGTGATGTGTTGGCTGCTCCTTTGGCGTTGTTGTAAGACAGGCGGATCTCATTTTCATACATCATGTAGTCGTCAAAGAACTATTTAACAACAAAAACGCATTAACATTTGACAAAAAACCCTTTTGATATTTAAATGTGATTCACACTCACCGTTCTGGTGGTTCCACAGGTATCCACACTGAAGGAGAAATATGCAATGCGATCGTCGCTGAACTGTGGTGTGCAGGACTGGTCCTTTAGCGTCAGCTGACTTGGCTTCAGATTACGAGTCGATTCAACCTTCACAGCCACAGCGGTCATTGTGCCATTGGGGTGGCACTCTGGAGGAAGAAGCAGGCAATGTGTAAACACAAATCCATCAATTAAAGCAGCAAATATACTTACATGTTCCATCTTACCTGTTGCTTTTAAGGGGAAGTAGCAAGCCAGATAGAGATCAGCAAGCACCCAGTCGTTTGCACGATCCAACAGAAGCAGGTCAATTCTGGATTTGACTGATTCTGCAGTGAGCAGCTGTGGAAAATAAAGTAAAGTTAGCCAATGCAGAAGATCTATGGTGGGATTTTGTAGTTTTGACATACCTCGAAAACAGCGTCCTTGGCAGTGTATGGCAGAATGAGGCTGAGGTGTGTGCCGTTCTCATAGAAATTGTAGTCTTCAGCCATCTCAGCCGTCAGCTCTCGAGGTCCAACGATAGCCTTGAAATTAGAGCCGTGACTCCCGAACTTCACGCTGATGTAAAACTGGTTCTGGTCACAGGTGCCAGCCATGATGGGTAACACTAGAGCAGCAAAACATGCATTATCCATTTGATTGTGTAGCTTTTACTCTTATATATGTTTTATTTAATTTTAGAAAACACAATTTGCATGAAGATATTGTCAAAAGCAAATTCAATATGATCTCACCAATATCCTGCAGAGAGGCCTGCAGGTCGACCGGGAGAGCAAAAGGAGTTTCTTCAGGCAGGACGATCAACCCAAAGATCAGAGGGAGGAAGTAGGATGTAACCAAGCGCTCAGGATTCTGCAACAAATGAAATAAAAGCTCAGCAACACTGAAAATATGCTGGTACAAAGTGATATTTTGAATCTATAATGTCATACATGTTTTAAGACAACATCGGCATCAAAGGGCACTTGAAGAGAGAAGCTCTTGGAGCCATTAGCCAAGCTGTGTTCCTGGACTGTGAAGCCTTTGGCATTGCTCTCCTCAACAGTGAGGACCCCGGTGGAGAAGGTGATGTTCCTCAGCTCAACGTCATGGAGGAAGGTTCCCAAGAGAACGCTGAACACCCGAGTCTCTGGGACAGTGTCTGAAGAACAGAAAGTGGCAGGTTTACAACTTCTAAACCAGCCTCAACATTGATAGAGAACAATTGAGTAGTTGGATTGAGTGCTATTTAAAAAACAAAATAGTGCCCTTTGTAAGCAAAAGTAGATGTACTTGCTACTTGGCTTCAAATCCCAACCAAACACACCATTTTGCCAAAACTGAAGACTTTATTTAATGGGCTTAGCAGTCTTTAGGATATATCCGAGCAAGCCAGAGTTCAAATGTCATTTTTTTTCATACCTACTAGAAAATGTGACTTACCATCTTGGATTTGGGGAGATTGAGGCATCAGAGGGGTCATGATGGGGAACAAAACCTTGTATCTGGTATCATCTTGGGTGTCATCTTCTCTCCACAGTACCTCAAGCATGGGCTCCACAAAGTAGGTGATGTGGTACTGGTAATCTGGGGCATGGCTCTGCAATAATTCATGACATTTCAATAAAACATGCAAATGCAATAGTGACTCTTGCATTTCTAATCTAGAGATTTCCCCAACCTTGTAGTAACCATCAGGCGAGCCCACTGGGATCTCGACGACAATGTGGAAGTCTGTGGTGCTCAGTGTGTACCCCCGTGCGGCCATCTGAGATCTATCAAGCCTCTGCCCGTTGATTCCCATGTGCATTTCTGAGACTGTAATTCTGCCGTCCAACAGAGGAGTCACACGGCGAGGTACGTGCCAAGAGATCATATCCTCGGTGAAGAGGACTCCACCTGTTAATGACAAAATTGAGCTATTGAGGTTAACTGTGCAACAATTAAGCTTACTGTGAAAGCAATATGTTGCTCAGGACTCACCTTTGGGACAAGCAGCTGCCAAGTTCACTACATTCAGACCCTGTGGTGCCATGTAGTAGGCGCTCACCCTGAAAACTTCCATGGGGACTCCAGCCACCTAAAGAGAGGAGAGGTTTAATATAATTGACAAGGAGGGAAAGGAAAGAAACATTGTATAGGAGTGTGTGGCTTACATCCTCTGAATAAGTCTCTGCTGTATTGTACGGGCTTCGCATAACCAGGCGACTAGAGGTAGTTTTGGCAGCGTAGCCGGCTTGTTCAGCCTCTTGCAACACCATGGCCACTGGTTCTGGGGTGTAAAACGTCATCTTCCAGATACCTTGTGATGCACCAGAGGCCTACAGGAAAGAACAAATAATAATTAAATCCTCATTGGTGTAGGGAGGAATTAAACTGTAGTATCTGAACAGTTTAATTCAACATACTTCAAGATTGGCGTTGAGCTTCTCGTCTTTACCATCCCAAGTCTGACCCTTAGCTTCAGCATCAAGGTTAGCCATGTGGTGCGAAACCTAAAACAGAAAATGGTGGTTTTAGCATTCGTTTCCATACACACAAGATGGTGGACTCATCAATGTAAAGATGACCTACTTCCATGTAGTTCCTGTCGCAGAGGATCTCCCTGGAGGCCCAGCGAGTGTAGCTGCAAGTCTGAGACACATCATGACTGACCACGTCTGATGGATTCTCGCCATACATCTTGAGTCTCAAGCCAACGTTAAATGTAGCATCATCCTATAAATATAAAAAAAACTAAATTAAGTGAAACTGCCTAATATTCTTTGGTTCCAGCTTCTTTGTCATTGAAAATGTAATATCCTTGCCTTCAGGTACACATTTGAAGTCTAAATGGATATTTGTGTATGTAACAAACAAGTCAAGAAAGTACCTAGTAGATTAATTGAGGAATACAGTTTTGAGTGGAGCAGTGCTAATATTTTAGGGATGTACCAAACAAAAAAGGGAAATGTACTTTGGGTCTTTTAACGGTAAGGGGTTACAAATAAATTCAGGGAAACACAAAAATGGGAGCAACCATGTGTTTGTTGAGCCATTAATTAAGTCACTTGACAGAATTAGCACAGCTAAACTTGCAAAAATTACATTGAATGCTGTTAAACCACTTTAGCTCAAAACAAACCTTGTTGTCCACAAAGCAGCCCATCAGGGAGGTGTAGATTCTGGTGTTACCCCACGGGTCAGACTCCATGCTGTATCCACACTGAGCAGCCATGCTAGGTGTTAACAAAATGTGCTTGGTGCCATCTGAGGGGAGAAAATAAGCTTTGTCAGGGACCCCTTTCCTCAGTGATGAACCAATCAGCTGCATTATTAGCAGTTAATACTTACTGATAGCCTCCACCTCAAGCTGGTTTCCCACTGCTAAAGCCTTGTCCAACGACAGTCTCATTACATTTGCGGCACAGTCAGACCTTAACCCACTGCCTGTTAAAAGAAAAGGCTTGTGAGGAGAATGTAAACCGACTTAATATGCTGTGTAAAATGACTTAATGAGAATTGAAGCTTACTTGACTGCGAATTTAGCTTCACATTAGGCCTGGCTTGACACAAGATGACAGCTGCAGCCATCCATAACAAACTTGAACACATAAAACACATCATTTAGAGACAATTAAGTACACACATATAAATAAATCTACAAGAAATGTAACTTACATGTTCCCAAGCCTTAGCATGTTGCAATTTGTAAGCAGTAAAACCAAAAATAATACAGTCAGTATCAGAGCTTGGCAATGTCCAGCACACCTTCCAACAAAAACACAAGTCTAAAATGAAGGGGACTGGACGATTAACTGAGACATCAGCAGCTGCTTTATATTCCACTTAACGACAAAGCACAGGTGAGGCTTGTTAAGGATTCTCCACACACACACACACACACACACACACACACACCCACACACACACACACACACACACACACACACACACACACACACACACAGCCGATCTTTATCTATGTCTATCTCTACAGTATATATGTCTATGTCTCTATCGCTATCTATCTCTCTGTCGCTATCTCTCTCTCTCTATAATCACAAACCAAGAAAGTGTGACACTTCCGCCGGTTTATATAATGTACAATGTAGGATAGATGTACAATGTACAATGTAGGATAGAAATAAATATAAATATATATAGCATGTATATATATATATATATATATATATATATATATATATATATATATATATAAAATAACAATTTCATTATATGGATTCAACTTGTGCCCCCCCGCTGGACTTGTCTGTGGTTTAGCCGTTACTGTGACATCAGTATCAGCCATGGAAGATAGTTTGTTTGTTTCATTCTAAGCTATCCAGCAAGGTTATTTTCATTTATGTTGTTTTTTTTCTGCACAGTGTAGAGTCTTGTTGTGATGAGAGGGATGGAGGTATTTAATAAAAACCTTGCTCGCTGGAGAATAGCTAAAGAAGTCCTGTCACAAGTTAATCGGAGAGGATCACAGCTGGCCACGGATCTCGATGCTGCATTCGGGCTGTGAGTAAACAACTTGTGTCTTACTTTTAGGCTGTCTGGAGGTATGGACAGCTATCAAAGCTACTAAACATCACATTAACAACGATGTACAAATGAAAGTCGGAGACAAATACATATTTGAAATGATTTATTCACGTTGGCAATGTTTTGAACAGACATCCCCAGTCATTGTCATTTTGTAGTCCTCGCTGTCCGCGTCCGGATATCGGCATCGCAACCACAACCTCACACACTGGTACTGAATGTGCATCAAAGTGTTCCTATGGAGCCAAATATACCAAAAGATAAATGTAAACAACAAAAGAAGCGATCGAAATGTGTATTTCGTGGTTATTCGACAATGGCTCCTCAAAGTACACGCCCCATTCCTACCGTTAATGTAACGTAACGAGTTCCCCGGTGTAACCAGTTAAACGGTAACACCGGCCCCTACCTGTTTGCAATCTTACGGTGCACACACACGATCATTCGAGTCATTGAGTCATATCTCATTGCACTTATTTGACGAGCGCTTCTACAAGCAAAAGGTGAGGAAACTGTACCATGTACCATGCGGCAATTAAAGCAATTAAAGTTTTTATTTATTTAATGACCATGTTTTGGATTTAGCTTTAAAATGACCGCAGCCCTTTCAATGCTAAAGGCTTATACAGGTGAAAGATTGAATCTGACTGTAGCTGTGGCTGTTGTTTAATGAATGCAGGCAGGAAAAATGACAACATGTATTCACTTTGTTTTTCAATGTGACCCGTTTTGCACTTATCTAATAAACTTAACCTTAATTAACCTATATCTTGCTTAAGTTCATCTCGTTTACCACAATTACATGAATGCATTTAATGGGTTAGGTCAACGTTGTGCTGTCATAACGCATGCATTTGTGTCAAGCCATGGACAGTTAAAACGTCATTTAGATCGTTTTGTAATAAAAGTGACTGTTACCCTTCCCCCCCGCTCTCAACTTAATTTACCATCCCCCAAAGGTTGCCATTTTGATAGCTCTACTGGTGTGTGTGTGTGTGTGTGTGTGTGTGTGTGTGTGTGTGTGTGTGTGTGTGTGTGTGTGTGTGTGTGTGTGTGTGTGTGTGTGTGTGTGTGTGTGGTGTGTGTGTGTGTGTGGTGTGTGTGTGTGTGTGTGTGTGTGTGTGTGTGTGTGTGTGTGTGTGTGTGTGTGTGTGTGTGTGTGTGTGTGTGTGTGTGTGTGTGTGTGTGTGTGTGTGTGTGTGATTGTTGACCAAGGTGTCAAAAATAGCAGCTCACAGGTTGTCAACACTGAAATCTCTGCTTACAAGATGGAGTCCATGAGCACCTATATGTCCTGGGACCCTACCCTATTTGACCTAGATGGATATCAATCTCCAATGGCCGGCTCAGACAGCTCGGCCCTGGAAGAGGCCTTTGATATCCATCAGGTATTTGACCAGGTGTTCCCGGAGGAGGTGGAGCATAATAGGTCCTTCCTCTCCAGCATCAGGCCGGACTTGCAAGAGCAGTTGGTCCGGGATATAAATGTGAGGGTGGATCTGGTGGGGAGATCCCTTGATAATGGCCTGATCCCCCAAGGACCTCCACGAGCCGCAGCGCAACCTCCACAAGCTCCATCACCTCCATCACCTCCGTCACCTCAATCCCCTCCATCACTGCGTGCCCAGAGCCCAGAGCCCAAGAGCCTGGAAGAGCTGGATCGAGACCTGGCTATGGCACTCCGCCCTCACTATACTGAGGGGGGTGCCTCAAAAGACAAGCTCTCCTCTCTCCAGCAGGCTTTCTTCCTCTGGAAGCTGGATGTCATGCAAATAAAAGGTAACTAACAAACACAAATGTGCACCTGCTTATTGGCAAGGGAATGACATTGGGTACTAATTGTAAATGTGAATTCTCAGACACCAAGGACCTGAAACTGAAGGCGGCCGTCATTGCCATTCACGGCGAGGCCGAGGGCATCTGGCTTCCCGGGTGGAGGCCAAACAGGTCAACATCTCTCCCTTCCTACCTCGGGGAGAGAATCAAAACCACACTGCGGAAGAGGCGCCGCTCCGAAAAAACGGGAGGCCAATTTGGAGACTAGGTTCAGGATATTCTTGAACCCAGACCAGGATTAGCCGGTTCTTGAGTAACTTTGTATATATTTTAATTGATTTTCTGTGTCTTTTATTCTTGTGTTTTTAGTGTTTATTATTTTTATTATTTGTAATATTCGTTGTTATATTATTTGTTATATTATTGTACATAGTTCAACTTTATTTGTTACTGTTCCTTATGTTCAATACATGCTCTTTTTTCTCACAAAGATATTTGTCTATGATTTCAACTCATTCCATCGGTCACTTTAAAATAAATTGCTAAATCACCACACCAGGTGGACTTTTCAGAGGACAGCCTGTGTTTGTCAGCTGGGAAGCTGCTTAGTTGAAAGAGGGCAGTCTACAGTTCTACAGTTCTACAGTTCACACATACCAAGCCGTTTATGATATGAATACATGTAACAACATTCTGATATTACAAAGGGAGAGTCCCCCCTTTAATATCATGCATGACACGGTCAATTTGAAGCTAGTCTAGGGCAAGTTTCAGGCAGTAATAGAGTAACAGTATGTGAAGCAGGCAAGTACATTTGTGTGTCCATTCATATACATTCAACCACACAACAACTCACACACGCTGAATAATAGCGCATTGTAAATACAAATGTAATAACTCAAAAACACGAGTATTTGTATTAAATATAACATTATTTTGAAAACTATAACACAAATTAAGAAGAACAATCCAATACATCAATAATTCTAATCACAATATAACAAAAGATATGTTTGTGAAATGAGTGCACAATGAGTAGTTTACTTTGACTGAGCAGCCATTCACCTTCATTGATTCAGTACAAAGGATGGCAACAACAACAACATAAACACAGGTAAAAAAGCTCAAGTGGATACAAATCAGATGATGTGTACAATTATGAACAGGGAGGCTTTGGGATTCAGGATGTGGAGAACTGGTGTTGCCATCTCCATGCTTCTCCCTGTAATGCCTGACAGCATAGACAAAAACAACATAGATAACTTGTATACCAAAAAATGGCAGTTTACAAGCGGTAATTGATACCCTAACATTGCTTTATACCAGACAGATGGATACTTTAACTATCCCAAATGTGTTCAGGCATTCAAACGGTGGAATAATGTATTGACACAATTACATTTGAATAAAATAAACATCAAATCATATAGGCTATAGACGTGCAGTATAAAACACATCAACAGTAGAGAAGACATGTCACAAATAATACCTATTTTGGACTGTTAATGTTATAATAAGTTATAGCATATCAAATTAGAGTTTGATAGATATTTCACTGAAGGACGCTGTCCCCAAACTAGCGGCCGTTAGCAGTAACATGGCCGTGGTCATGTGAATATTCTTTGAGTTTTACGTTCAGAATGTGCTATAGATGCAGAAAATAGCAGTTTCGTAATATCACATTTGAATAACTTTTGATAGAGGGCGCCAAATCCTCCCTCAAATTGACCACAGTGTGTGTTTATATTCTTTGACTTTGATGTATTTCCGTAACACACACACACACACACACACACACACACACACACACACACACACACACACCCACAAATTGGAGCATTTTTCAGTTAAAGGGACCTTTAAGTGTGTGTACACGTGGAATAAATACTATCTGTTGCCCAGGAGAGGGCGCCAAATCTTTCCCCCAAAGAACAACTGGTTAGAAAATCAATACACGACATAGTGTTTGAATGCGCAGGCCTACATTAACAGGTTTATGGCATCACTGCCTCATCTAAGACACGAGTGATCTGCCTTAATAATTCAACAATTTACATAATTACATTTGAGTTGAGTGTTTCTTCAACTTAATGTGTTGCTTAAAATAATACTTCTGCATACAGTAGGCCATGTGACACTGTAAGTACCGCCTATGACATCACCCCTACTGTATATCCCCTGATAATAGTGATACTAATGAAACTATTTTGAAAACAATGAAGAGTTAACCGAGGAGGTCAGAGGTCAGCAGCCATGTTACTGTGCAGCAGTTCGTCAATGGTATACTTGATTTTATATGAATATTCTTTGACTTTGATGTCCAGGCGTCGTTCAGATTCTGCTATGGTTGTGTACAATAGCACATTCTGAACAACCCCTGGGTTAAGGTTGACACACACACACACACACACACCCCCCCACACACACACCCCCCCCCACACACACACACACACACCCCACCACACACACCCACACACCCCCCCCCACACACACACCCCCCACACACACACACACACACACACACACACACACTCACACACACACACACACACACACACACACACACACACACACACACACACACACACACACACACCACACACACACACACACACACACACAGTCTCTCAGGTGTACCTGCAGGTCTGCTATGGGTTCTGCCAGGTCTGGTCGGTGTGGATGGACTTCAGGTCGTTTGCACGGATATAAAAGCGTCCAGTCATGTGCTTGAGTTTAAATGCTTAACGAAGAGAGAAAATAGTTTAACGAAGCAATGACCTGAGAGACAGGTGGGACACAGACAGGTGAGAGACACACAGGTGAGACACAGACAGGTGAGACTGATAGGGTGAGAGACAGATATGTGAGAGACAGACCGTCGGCAAGACTGTAGGACGACATGAAGTGTAGTTATGGCACATGTTCAGATTCTGCTATTTTGGCAGAAATAGAAATAGCAGAACTACCAGTTTTCATCACATGACTCTGTCTCCTGAATTAAAACAGTTCCCCCCGAGTTTTAAGACCAATGTACCCATGTTTAGAACACTAAAATGGTGTGTGCGCACCCATCAATGAAATTAATGAAAAAGTTGTATTTCTGCTCCTGAAATTGGGATTTTGGTCCGTTTCATTTCTGATCTTATGAGCATTTCTTTGTAAATTATTAAAAACTAACAACAAGAAAAGCTTCATGTGTACATAGTGAACAAATATACAATTAAACGAAAGCATCTATTGTGGTGAAATACTCTGACCTTCAACCTCCATGAAGACTCAGTTCAGCTACGTTTTGTGTTTCAAGTTTGTTTTGGCAGGCCCTTTATAGCAACTATTGGATATAAATGCAACTATTTTTCAAAAGTTAATCAACAAAGAATGTAACATAAAGTACAAGTACTAACTCCAGGCGAAGTGATTAAAAGGACATGTATGACTTAGCTGGGTGTAGCATGTGGAATGAGCTTACATTTTAAGGTTGAGATGTGGCTAGTAATGTATAGTAAGAAATAGACTCGTTTAGGATGTGCATGAAAAACCACTGACAAAGACAGTTCAATTTATTCCAATATTTTATTTCACACACACACACACACACACACACACACACACACACACACACACACACACACAGTGGGTGTCTGACTGTATCCATGCATGTTTGACTGTCTGCAGCAGGTGAAAACGTATCACTACTACCTGTCCCAAGTGAACCTGCTGCTACACAATCTGCAGGAGAGACATTGGTCTCAAGTACCACAACACAGTCTGCAGCACGTGAGTCCAGTTTATTATTGCACATTACAATAGCACTTCTCTTACTAATAATGTACATGTTAATGTAACACACACACACACACACACACACACACACACACACACACACACACACACACACACACACACACACACACACACACACAGTGGGTGTCTGACTGTATCCATGCATGTTTGACTGTCTGCAGGTGAAAACGTATCATTACCTGTCCCAAGTGAACCTGCTGCTACACAATCTGCATGAGAGACATTGATCCCACACACACACACACACACACACACACACACACACACACACACACACACACACACACACACACACACACACACAGTGGGTGTCTAACTGTGTCCTTGCATGTTTGACTGTGCATTAGGGGTGTTGAAAATAATCGTTTCTACGATGCATTGCGATGCGGACGTGGACGATTCGGTATCGATGCAGTGATGGAAGATAATCGGTTATAGCGTAGTAACGTTGCTTCCTGATTTTCCGGCCGCGGCTTTACTATAACGTATTTTTTTTCTGTCACTTTAATATCAAATCGGTCGGTGACGTAGAGATCAGGGAACAGACGTGACAGCGGCACAGCGGCACAGCAACACCAAACACGGAGCAGTCTGCTTTATCCACCAACACAACACCACCAGTCCAGAACCAACAGCAGAAGGACCCGCTCTGAATCACTCCGTGTCGCTGCGGCACAAGGATTTATGTTTTTCAAAAATAATTGCGTTACAATCATGTCAGGTTTTTGGTGGATTTCATTAAGTCTTGAATTGCAAAGTATGAATGTCCTCTAGCAATTTTCAGACGATATATACGTGTCGTGTGTAAAATTTGTGAAGGCAGGAGGAAAAAAGCTTCCGCGATCACCGTCTCCTCTCCGTTCCTCCAAACCCCGCCCCCCTGAATATAATGAGTGACAGGCTGATAGTGACCCGATATAAACTTTATTATTCACTTAATCACTGAGATATAATGAAGCTAACTTAATCTCATACATTCATGGGATTTATGTAACAGTAAGACAGATAATGTAAGTCTGCACCCACATGCAGTATTTTTGTTTGTATATGCTATTGTAATAAATACTCCTGTTGTCTGCTGTGTTCAGATTCGAGTCCTGTGTGTGATGCCACAACACATCCTCACTCCCAGGTCGGCCTATGTTGACGTTATGTCAAGTCCCCTGTCCACATTCAGGACATTCAGTGTCCTTTCTTTAACAGAAGACTGTTGCTAGAAGCTGCAGCTAAACTGCAGAAGCATTATTTGTTTTGTTTTTGAGGATGGAACAACTTCACACACAGATATAGGAGGCTAGACCTATACAATTCATTTATTTTGGTTTATAAATTAATGTCAAGACATTTATGTTATTGATTTCTGAAGCACTTTCTAAATAATAAAAAGAGAGTTCATATGTATTTACTGCATGTATGCATTGATGAAAAATAAGCCATGTGCAGTAATATAGAAAATTGAGGATGCAACGCATTGGTATGAATCGTGATGCATCGGGATATCGAATTGAATCGAATCGTGAGACCAGTGAAGATGCACAGCCCTACTGTGCATGCAGGTGAAAACGTATCAATACCAATCCCAAGTGAACCTGCTGCTACACAATCTGCAGGGGAAACATTGATCCCGAGTACCACAACACAGTCTGCAGCACGTGATGCCACAAAGGCAGCAGCTGTTGACCCTGC